TTTTGTTTTGCATGCAGTGGTCCAGGGCTTGCTCTATTCTTGGGCACTGAAATGTATTTTGAGCACTTCTAATATGCTAGCATTATTTTTCTTGTTTGTTGGCAGATTTAGTTACTCCTCTGTTCTTCTCCAGTAGGTTGTTTATTACCTTTTGACATGGGCATCTCATATTCTGGCACTATCATTGTTTCTTTTTGAATTGCTTCATTATAAAGTTGTCACAATTAAAAAGAGAGTATTTTTTATTGCCAAAGACCTGCAGGCAGGAAAAAAGTCTCCATATGAGGAGTAATGGGAAAAAGGAATGTAGGTGAGCCTTCCACAGAAAATTCCACAAGGGTGCGCAATGTTGTTAGACTACAGTTCTTATCTCCCATCTGAGACTGATGGGAATGAGAGTTGAATTGCATTTGTCTACATGTTTTTCCTGTATATAAGCATTAAATAATATGGGAAATATTTTACTATGGCTCTTCTGTTTCAAGCGTGATGGAATCTCTTTTGCTAGAATATTTTAAACAGAGACTGGATGGCCATCTGGTGGGATGACAGGGGGTTGGACTGGTCTCTGTGGTCTCTTCCAGTTTTATCATTCCATGAATTATATTGATTCATGCATTACCATCTATACTATTTCATTTTGTCCTGAGAAGAGAACAATATGGTTGAGCAGCTGAAATGCATTATGTCAACTATATCTTCCCATACTGCAGAAATTTTTCAAAATGCAGATAAGTAAAGATATTCATTTTCCAGGGCAAAAGGATTGGTTTGAACACTATGAATTTATCAACATATGAAATTAATTGACAAGAAAAAAGTTAACCCAAGCTTTTATTCTAATGAGTTTGCTTGAACTGCAACCCTAAGTGGTTGTTTTTCCTTCTACAACTGATTGTTATGGATTGTCTGTCATATCTATAACTGCAACAACCTGCATGAATAAGTCGCTGTCTTACTGCTTTCAAAATTATCTTAAGAAATTTGCATGAGTAACTTGTGGGTGGAGGGAGAGAAGAATTTTGTACTGTTTATCCTCCATCATCCCTGATTCTTTTCAGCAGATGTCATCTGTTTTGCAATCTTGTCATCTTCTTTGAGACATCCTTCCTCGGCTTCAGTGAAAGTGAGGAATGAAGGGGGAAATGAAAAGAGGGCTGTGACAGTTCTGAAAGGTTTCTCTTGACAAAAAATGAATTATTAAAAGGATTCTTTTAATGCAGTGATGGAGTAAACAAACATTACAGAACAAGCTGAACACAAATTAATTGGCAAGGGAAATATATGTAAATGCAGTCTCTGGATTGCAACACCATGGTGAACTTTAAACGTTCTGCACCTTTCTCTGCTTTGGTGCAAAAATTATTATATTTCATTTGAGTCATTCATCTATATCCTAGTAGAAATCATATAAGAGAGATACATATCTGTACGCCCTGTATTTATGCTGCTATGCAATGAATCCTGGCCTTATCCCCCAACCCTAATTCTTATTTACTGGGCAGCAGCTGCAGCCATCGATGTAGGTCTGTTCCCCCATCTCTCAGGAAGGAATTCCCACCCCCTCATGTGAGTAATTTCCATTGTGACAGGCAGAAGCGAAGTCCCTGACACAATTCTTCCTTGCGTCAGAGATCACTTGTGTGGAGGATGGGATGGAATTAGCAGCCAATCGCTTGCCAAACAGTGACTATACCCCCATTGATCTTGATGGCTGCTGCTCGGTAAGTGTGGATTTGAGACTTTCACAATCCCTACATACGCCATAAACTAGAAGTAGGTAGGGACTGTGAATATGTAACAATCATGAGTGTGTAACTCCAGGTCATGCATTCCAGGTCACGAATTGGATACTGGCTATACCATTATGGTCATTATGCATAACATGTTGGGTCCATTTTATGTAGTCTTGTCTTCTGTTTCTTGTTTTGACATTTATACACTTTAGATATTACATGATCATCAACTTTATAGCTCTAAATAAAAGTTATTTTCTCTAACACCTATATCTGCATTTATCATATCATGATTAAACCTGTTCTTAAATTGCATATAAGCAAACCAGTGAATATCTTAGCCTTCCTTGAAAATTACTTCTGATTTTAATTTTCAACTATATTGTTCAAAATCATCAAGTAACCATCTCCCGTTTTAACTCACTCCAATAAACAATTTTTCCTTATATGGATTGGTGTTGGATAAGGAAGGAAACAACAGTAAACCCATGTGACAACCAAGTGGATCAACTTGCTGCCATCAATTTCCTCCAAGATTTTTCATAGTTATTCCTGCTGCCTCATCTGCTGCTTCTTTCCTTTAGTTATATCAGGCCATCATTCTTTTCAAACAGGATTTGCTTGGCCTTTCTTTTGGAAACCCTCATAAAAAGGGCATTAAAACTTTGCATGATTCTAACAACACATTTACAAAGCCACTCATCAACAGTGCTGCAACCCAAAGCTGTTTAAACATATGTAATTTGAGAGTGCTCAGTTTAGGAAGCAGACTGATATAGTATGGAATGGTGTAAAAACCCAAATGGTATCTGCAGGGGTTTTGTCCCAGGGCCTCCTATTGATACTAAAATCTATGAATGTTCAAATATCATTATATGAAGTGGCTTAGTAAAATGGTGTCCTTTATATAAAAATCAAGATTTGCTTTGTGGATTTTTTGTGTGTGGTTTGAGTACTTTCAAGCTGAGAATGATGGAATCTGTGGATGTAGAATCCATGGATATGGAGATCCAACTGTAGGTTTACAGCAGTGGTTCCCAACCTTTTTTTGACCAGGGACCACTTTGACTAGGGACCACTCTCCAACATTAGTACCAAAAGGGTTGCGAATGGTTTTTTTTTTGTCAACTTTAGTTTTGGTTTGCTTATTCGGGTGCTGATTCAGAAAATTGCATTGGATAGACCACATCAGCTCTAGTTTCTGATACAGAACGTATGCCACCCAGTAGTCGCCATCCACTCGCCTATAGACAATCATATTTAATAATCTAGAAATGATGTGGTCTATCCAATGCAATTTTTCTGAATCAGCACACCAAATAAGCCCAGGAATAGGCCTAAAAAACAAAGACATCAAGAAAAAAATGTTTTGGTTGGGTTGTGTTATTATCCAGGGATTTTGTTAATGTTCATGTTTAAAAAAAAGAAGGGAAGGGAACTGGGGTTGAAAAAATACAAAAAGCAGAGTGTGAGACCCAAGAAACTGCCCCTAACAGCTTTAATCATAATGATAACAACAATAACAACAACTTTATTTGTATCCTACCCCATATCCCCAGAGGGACGTGGCGTGGCTTACAAAACAGCAACAATACATACAAGAGTGGCATAAAAGAGACAACAAAAACCAAGACAATACAAATATACACCAAAAGAAAATAAAAGTAAAAACATAACAATTAAATTTTAAATAAAAAACCTCAAATTAAAATACGCAATAATAAGCAATAAACATAGCAAAGGATTAAAAGTTAAAAGTTTAAAGCCATAGTATACAAACCAGTTTAGATATCCCTGACACAAATCAAATGAGAAATCAAACTAAATAAGTATCAACACCAGGGTAAAATAGGCAATAAAATAATTGATGGCAGAAAATTAAATTGAATCAAGGCTGTTCATTGCTTCAATATATTGGGATATATGGCTGTGTGGAAGGGCCCTGAGCTGTCTGACATATATTCCAGTTCAAAACAGATATTGTGGGATTTTCTGCCTTGATATTTTTGGGTCCTTCCATACAGCTGAATAGAATCCCACATTATCTGCTTTGAACTGGAATATATGTCAGTGTGGACTCAGACAGCTCAGAGCCCTTCCACACAGCCATATAATCTGGAATATCAAGGCAGAAAGTCCCGCAGCAACAGGAAAAAAGTAGCAGATGGCATGAAAGGAGCAGAAATAAAATTAAATAAATGAAGAGGAAGGAGGCTCATGGACGAGATTTTCGTCCTCACGGCCACTTGTGGGTCCGTGGCTCACAGATTAAGAACCAATAGTTTACAGGCTCACAAGATAGCATCAGAGGACACCAACCCTGGGGAGAGGCAAAAAACCTTTATATGGCCAAGGGAGGACAGTGCATGTTTAGTAGGCACAGAGCTCCTTCACACAGCCCTATATCCCAGAATAGCAAGGCAGAAAACACCACATTATCTGAGTGTAGACTCAGATAACGCAGTTCAAAGCAGATATTGTGGGAATTTCTGTCTTGATATTCTGGGATATAGGGCTGTGTGGAAGGGCCCAGAGAATGCTGACTGACTATGGGTGCAGCAAAATGGATAAACAAGGAATGTGCAGAATGAAATGGTGTATTCTGAAAATAGGCTGGATCCTTGAAAAGGAGCACTGTGTACAGCAGACATTTTTCTATACGTTTCATTTGTTCTATAGCATATACAGTACACTCAGTCCTATAAAAGTAGCCACACCAAAGCTGCTTCAACATGATTTCATTGTGCTGCTGAAAACTGGGTGGCTACACAGTCAGTGGTGGTCCTTCTACCCAGTACAGAACATACAGCAGAAATATAGTCAAAGGAATCTCCTAGAGACAAAATGTGCAAGGTATCAGACTTCACAAAGTAGAGGAGGGGAGTGGGACTGTATACTAAAATTGTTGAGAAGCATGCCAGGTTCGATCACCAGACATTTATTTTCTATTAGTCACGATCCAGAATTATATTGCCCCCCGCCCCCAAATACAAGTCTTCTAATGAATGTATGTATGCAGCCTGGAGGTCACTGATTATAATGAATATTCCAACTGGCAAATGCAAGAACTCTAATCAGCATCAAAAAGGAAAACTACTGACAGCAGTCAATATAGCATAAAAAGGTATGGCATAGCAAAATGTATTGAATGCTTTATTCTTTTGGAAAGATATTTAGGGAATGCCCTGTTCTTTCTTTCTTTCTTTCTTTCTTTCTTTCTTTTTGGTACTCTTTTTGAATGTTAATGATTTGTGAAGATGGTTGCAGAGAGCTGCTAGCTGGCTTGCTTCTACTCACTGAAACAGAAGCTGCTGAGGAGTTGCTGAGGCAGAACTGAAATCATGGTTTAACTCAAAAGGAATGACAAGAGTTTCAGCTAATTATCTTCAGAGAGCAAGCAGCTACAATGACGCTCATGCCTTGAAAAACAGAAACAGAATTCATGTAAGACTTGAAGCTTCGTACAGAGCTCGAGGGGGATGCTTAGTTTCTTTATGACATGGAAGCGTGATGCTCCAAAGAATGGAAATGAAACTACCTGTTACTGCTGCTTTGTAGGATTTGGGCAAAGTTTTCTCTGGACCAGATAAAGGTATTTTCATGATAACAGCTAAACTTTCCTCTTACTTCTTTCTGCATATGTGAATGATTTACATTTTGTCAATTCCATGTGAATTATTAAAGCAACAGTGATAAGATTTGGTGAGAATTAGAGAAGAGGGGGAGTTTTTAAAAACCCATCAGTACAGATTTACTGGAACAAAATCTATGCTCAACCTGAGAGCCATATGATGATGCGAGGCTTTAGAGTATATTGTTTATGTATACATTGTTTATGTATGTTTATGTACAAACTTAGAAAAGCTCCATGTTTGTACTTTGTGATTAGTGTCTTCATATAATCCAGTAGAGCCGGATTATATATATATAAAAAATGGTCTTGCTTCAAATTATTTGATGTTCAATCTGTTACTGAAAGTTTGCTCATTTGTGAAGAAACTTAAATTTGAGTAAACATATAGCATCAGGTAAAGCATAAAATAAAATAGCATGCTGTTTGTGTTAAGTCATGTAAGATATTTGGGCGTGAAAAACAGACATTGAAAAGAAATGGAATATTTTAAAAGAAAAATTATAGTTGGGATACACTTCTTCTACAGTATAGTATGTGAAAGTAATAACTATTTATGTGACTCTGAAACATAAAGTCCATTATGAGATGCTTCTTTAAAGGTTGAATGCTATATTGGAATTATTCTTCAATTTGTAAAATTATAAACATGTAAAATTATTAGCTAGATTAAGAAAGTCCTGATTTTGCCAGTCAAACTTGCCTAACTCTAAGTATCTTCATAAGTAGACTTTCACAAGGAACATTCACATGTATTTATTTTAAATGTTTTACCCACACTTTTGACCATATAATCACCAGGTTTTGATTGTCTATGCTTCATAAACAGGAGTTGAAAAGAAAAATGCATAAGCTACATGTGACAAATTTCATACTTATAGTTCTGGGACTTATTGGGTGAGATCTGAGATGAATATCCTGCCACTAGAAATATCATTGATCTAATTTGCAGTATTTTATATAGAGCCTAAATTTGGAAGCACAGTACTGAGTTTTAAAACTTTGTTTTCTATCTTGTCTATTTTCTATTGCTTTTATTATTTTCCATGTCTATTGATTGTTGTAAACTGCTCCGAGTCCCTTCGGGCAGAAGGGGTGGAATATAAACAAAACTTGTTGTTGTTGTTGTTGTTGTTGTTCCTCTTCTTCTTCTTCTTCTTCTTCTTCTTATTATTATTATTATTATATGTCAGTGCTTGCAAAACACACGGTGCCATAAAGCCAAAAAGCGTTACACTCTGTGGTTTACTTGCTAGAAGACACCGAGCCAAGTGCTGAAATGGGAAAAATATAAGCAAAGGAATAGAGTGCTCATCTGAAGTGTTAAGAATGACCGCTAATGTACCACCTCAAGTTTGTTGAATTTAACTCTCAATAAAATACAAAAGGGAATGAAATGACATTTACAAATTAACAAGCAGGGAAGTTAACAAACATGTTAATAGATGCAGGTATCCTTAACCAGAGTCAGGCTCCTAAAATTGTCACGGGTGTGAATTTGTTTGGTGTAAAAAGCCAGGAGGCATGAACTTTTATGGATGTATGATTCGGGTATATGTTTCCCAAACTCTTTGCTTTGTAACAGGAACAGCTGATATTTATGTACAATTTATTTGCGTTGTCCACAGTTTCTTTTCCAGTCAACCAGAAAAAACCTTGATTTTCTTCTAGGGAGAAAAACTAATTAGAGAAAGGGAACTACTTGTGTTCACCTGACAGAGTGTACCACGGTTTAGCAGCACAACTTGTACGCTATAAACTAGGCTTTCTGCAGATACCTACTTACCTTGTAAAATGAAGCCAACCCATAGATTGAATCTAGATTTAGGGCCCTTCTACGTTGCCATATAATCCAGAATATCAAGTCAGATAATCCACAGTATCTGCCTTTAACAGGATTACCTGAGTCTACACTGCCATATAATCCAGTTCAAGGCAAATAATCTGGATTTTATACAGCTGTGTAGAAGTCATGATGAGAGAATGCCAGGTTACTTTTAAGAAGATGCATACCATCATCTACTGAAAGCCATTCATAACTAGGCTGTGCTAGGATGATGCTCTGCTCATTTAAGAATGGTTTCAGCACACCATTATATTAATTTGTCTTAAGAACAATGTCTCTGAAGTCTCCTTATTGTACTCAGTGGACTTAAAGTAGTCTGAGATCCCTTTTACACAGCCGTATAAAATCCAGGTTATCTGCTTTGAACTGGATTATATGGCAGTATAGACTCAGGAAATCCAGTTCAAAATAGACAATGTGGATTATCTGCTTTGGTAATCTGGATTTTATGGCAGTGTAGAAAGGACCTGAGTTCAATGAAGAGACTTCAGGAACTACCTAGGGAGGAATATGTGTTGGGTACCAGCCCCATGAGTACAGTGTGGGTGGCATTCTTACTGTATTGCATTCTCATAATTTCCTGGAAAATGACCTGAGGTTGGCAGTCAGTGACTAGTGAACTGGCACCAGTCTGCAGACCAAAACTTTGAGTAGCAGTGCTCCCAAGACATCATGTCTGTATTCGAGGGCAGTGTTGGGATTTTAGCTTCTCCTCTGATGGCTTTAGTTGTTGCAGCTGATAGCTGGGGAGTTTCTCACCTGGCACTAAACCAGGCATTATAGATTTTTTAAAAAAATGTTTTTGTCATGTTTGCTTCCATTTCCTCCATAGCAACATTTTATTTGCTCAACAAGCATGAGAAGTAGGTTGGATTAATAAAAAGTGATATGACCAAATAACTCAGCAAGTTTCAGGGCAGCCCCTAACAAATTGTCCAACTACTGTGACATACAAGATGTTAAACTCACCAAGTATGTGGCTCAGAATGTTAGTGTGTCACCATAAAACATTGGCTCAGCTCTTTTAAAAGGGAACCATATACAATACATATTTTAAATATCACTTAGAACATACACACATACAAAAAAAAGGAAATTTCAGTTCAATGTGCTACTCTCTTTACAGCTGCAAAAGGATGATGTCATGCATATGGTGAAATTGAATTATAGGAGTGTTTCCACTTGTCCCACTTCATTGGACTGAAAGACCTCAAAGTATATTAATCCTTTTCAGCTAGCATTTCAATTTTACTGCTTGGCAAACTAAGGTGCTTGAGGATTTTTTAGTTATATGATTCCATTTAATAGTTATAGTTCATTGTAAATAAATGAGGGAATGTGTTTTTAAAGAACGGGTCTCAAATCTGAATAAATAAATAGATACATGTATGCGCACACATACCTACCTACCTACATACAGTGACAAACAGTACAGGAGTATACAGCTGAATAACTGAGGGTTCTTTTTCCAAAGCATTTTATTAACTAAGAAAGGCCAAACTGCTATTCAAACCATACAAAACAATTCTGTCAGTTTCATTCTCTTATAAACCACCTGTGGAAAAAATATGTCCCAATGACACTGCTGTAATTCACCAGTGTATTTCCCCTGGTAAAAAAGAGGTTGGGGGGGGGGGGGAGAGAAAATGAGCAAACATAAAACATGCCCTGATCCTTGGCTACATCATGTATCAGTGCCGGTAGCCATTGATAGTATTAGGCTTCTCTTGTTTTCATCAAGATGGTCCAAAGACACAACTCAACAGATAGCTCAAAATGAGTCCATTTTTACACTGTGATTCCTAGTTCAGTCAGAGATAGTTCAGGCCAGAGAAAGGAAGATATTTTCATTTGGTTTGGGCATTTTGTTTTGAATCTGAATGTTCATTTCTGTACATACTGGCCCTTTAATTTAAATGCTTGATAAAGATTTAAGCTTAGGTAAATATATCAAAGACTTAAGCATCATTTCCCTCCCATTTTTCCAACTTTATGTGATATGCTTTCCAATTGCAGAGTCAAAAAAATATGGTAGACAGCTTCTAGTTCTCTCCCAAATTTTCATAAAAAAAAGATTCTTTGAAATGATGGCTGAATAATGACTTAGATTCAAGATCAATGATTAAAAACAGAAATTGTAATGGATTTGAATTTGGCCTCTAATTGTGTTTAAAGATTAGTATTAACCAGTTTTATATCTCTGTCAGGCTGTTGAATTTCAGTTTTGTCAATTTCAGTCTGTTCTTTCCAAAACATAATTTGCTACATCAATTGATTTACCTTTGTGGTTCTCCTTCAAGGATCCTATAATATTAGAAGCAGACTAGATATGTTACATTATTACTTTAGACAGAGTTGTGAGCTATGCTGTTCTGCTACAATCTGAGAAATAGCTCACTTTGGAAGTGTGGTCTTAGTGCATAATCATTAATGGGCCCAATAGCCAGAAACGTTTGGTCCCCTTTGTCTAGAATTTATTGGACTTCCTCCTGAATTGCTCACACACCATTATCTACTTGAATGTAGGGCAAAGCCATGCCTGTCTGATTTGAAACAGCAAAAACAGTGAAAATTGATATCATCCATTTTTAGACCTCCTCAATCATATGGCGGACTTCCTTCCCCTATGCTGATGGCATGGTGTCAACCTGGACAGGAAATTGGAATGAATTGGACCTGATCGAGTTGTTCAGATTGCCATGAAAAACCAAGATATTCTGAAGGTTCCTGCAAACTCCAGAGTATACTCCAATTTTGCCTATAATTAGGCAAAGTGGAGTAAGGCAGGAAAACAGGATACTCACCAGAAATCCCAGGGCCCATCCAGACAATACCTTTATCCCAGGAGGTTCTGCAGCAAACAGGAGGATGGCCAGATGCTGTTCCCTTTAAACACGGAAGCAATCACTACAAAAGCCAAAAAAAATGTGAGATTTCCAGGTGCAGGAATATTGCAGTTTGCAGCCAAATATGTGGATCTCCGCATGTCTGTATGTTCCTGCAATCAGAAATCACAGGATTTTTTTTTATCTTGGTTTTTTCTGGGTTTTAGATGTTTGGTCAGTTTCTTTAAAAAAGGTGACACTTGAGTAGAAGGCAAAAACTTTCTTTGTGTGCCAGAAACATTTTGAAAATTGTGGAGGGCATTTTTAATTAAAAAAACCCACTAAAGTTTCTGGCAGAAGTCCTGCAGTGGCCATCTTGGGAGCCTCTAAATCTCACAACAAAGCATCGAGTCTGGAAAATGGAGGCAGAAATCCCAGGACCAACAGGTCTGTATGTGGACCTCTTCTGAAGTCCCAGGATTTTTTGCCCCTGTTTAAAACCTGTGATTTAGTGTTCTCTGGTAGTACCCCCAGTGCACTGTGGGGTCTGACAGCAGTGGATTCAGGATGAGTCCAGGTTTTCCTGATAGTATACGAATCCAGATTATCATTAGATTGCCCCATTATTTAATTAAGAATAAACCACAACAACGACTACTAGTAGAATGCAGATTTAAGACTGCGTGAAAAACCAGAAAGTGGAAGCACTCCATACAATAAAATCTTGTTGGGGTTCCCACCTGTAACATTTCCTTTTTGCCACTTCCATTTCAGGTAACAATCAGCTTCAAAGTGATGTCTGTCATGGCCTTCATGCACTGAGAATGAAAAGAAGACGGCTGAGAGATTACTTTTTTCATCAATCCTGGAGAATGGATGGGGAGTCCTTCACCTCCACCCGCTTCCCTCCTGGGAGCATTCGCCCAGAAACTGGCATTACCCTGGAACAAAAAACAACTTTTGTGTTTGTCGTCATATTGGTTATTTTCCTTTGCATCCTCATTGTCCGATGTTTCCGCATTCTCTTAGACCCCTACAGGAGCATGCCAACTTCCACTTGGACTGATGGACTTGATGGGTTAGAGAAAGGCCAATTTGATTGTGCCCTGGCTTAAAAACCAAAAACTTTGCCCCTCTATTTGGAAACCACTCTGACATATTGAAAATGATCCTCGTGCACAAGCAAAACCATTTTTTTAAAAGTATAGGCAGTCCCCAAGTTATGAACGAGGTTCTGTTGGTTTGTTCTTAAGTTCAATTTTATATGTAAGTCAGAACAGTTATATTTTTAAGTGTAACTCCAGCATGCTTGTAAGTCAGATGTTTGTAATTCGGGGACTGCCTGTAGTTAAAGCAACCTCACTGATTTTTTAAATAGATAAATAGGTAAATCAGATATTTAATTTCACAAATCACACATACTCAATATACACACTATATTATACCATACCCTGATTCAAAGTACCTGGAGACTGAGTTGTACCTATGTGCCTTTTTCTTTATTGTTCACCCCACCCGCGCTACCTTTTCTATATTCTAATAAGCCTTTCCATATTTAAAGGCAAGAATCTGTTTTTTTCCCCAATTTGTATGTGAAATAATGTTTTTTTTCCCTCTCCAAGCAGTAAAAAATATCTTTTTATTTCACTTTCCCCACTTACCAGAAAGGTAAAAAGTTCTCAGCAATGTTAATAAAACAGTGATTGCTTTGAACAATTTCAGTAAAGAAATGTAACCTGTGATTTTATGATATACTCTTGATTATAAAAGCATAAATGAAAACATAGATATAAATCACAAGTAGTATGAAAATAATGTATACTCTTTACTGCATTTGGTGAGTGGTTGTTGTTTTTCAAATGAAATCTTCAGTAGGAATTTTAAGTGACTGAAGAGCTTCATCTAAAAAAATATATGTCCCTTATATTCCAACTTTTGTGATCTCTGGGGAAACAGTTCTTTCATTTTGAATCCTGCAGGAGAGGCTGGAGCTGTAATCATGTAAGTGTGGCCTAACAAAATTCCTTAGGCTTCTAGGTGTAAATTGCGTTCCTAAGGTGACCACTACTGAGCTGATACTGAGCAGGTTTTATCTCCAACACTTTGCGTATATTGCAGCTGCCCTACTTGAATTTGATGGAGCCCCCAGTGGTGCAATGGGTTAAACTCTTGTGCTGGCAGGACCAGTCAGCAGTTCAAATCCGGGGAAGGCAGGTTGAGCTCCCTATGTCAGCTCCAGCTCCCCATGCGGGGACATAAGAGAAGCCTCCCACATGGATGGTAAAACATCAAAGCATCCACGTGACCCCGGGCAACGTTCTTGTAGACAGCCAATTTTCCCACACCAGAAGCAACTTTCAGTTTCTCAAGTTGCTCCTTATACACACACAACAACAAAACCCAAAACCTGCATTCAGGAATTTTAAGTAATACAACACAGTTTACCATATTGAACTCACCTATAGTATGGAACATATAAACCTCATTACCTATCATTTTCTTTTAAAATAAATGTTGAGCACATATTTCCTTTCAGCAAAATTCAGCATTTTTTTCCTGTCAGAAGCGACTTGAAAAACTGCAAGTCACTTCTGGTGTGAGAGAATTGGTCGTCTGCAGAGATGCTGGCCAGGGGATGCCCAGATGTGTTACCATCATGTGGGAGGCTTCTCTCATGTCCCTGCATGGGAAGCTGGAGCCGACAGATGGGAGCTCACCCCGTCTTACAGATTTGAACTGCTGACCTTCAGGTCAGCAGTTCAGCCAGCACAAGGGTTTAACCCATTGCACCACTGTGGCTCCTGTAGTGCTGGACCAGGGTTGGCTAAGTGGCAGTGGCTGAACTACTTCTGAGGCATAAGTAAAATATTGTCTCTGGATAAGGCATGATCCTTGTGCATACACACCTTGCCTTTAAATGTGTGGTGTAACATAGGGAACAGCAACAAAAGGATGCAGTGTATAGTGTTCCTTTTGAGGTTGCCTTGTTTTCCTCGAGAATTCTTTATTTTCTCTAGGCTTTATTGCCCACTGTCTCTGTAGGGAGTGAATATGCTTAATATTCACTGAGATATTGGTGGGGCCTCCTTCCTAAAAAAAGGGGACTTCTGCAAAGCTTGAGGTTCCTTCAGACTTTCTGATCCTTCTCTTTGTTTTCCACTGAGCCGACTTTGGCTGCAATCCTGCTGACACATACTACCAGCTGCATTCTCTATTACAGAGAGTGATATGATTCAGATATATTCCTCTTGGAGACCATCTGTCCTTTTTCACAGAGGAGTAAAGTTGGAATGAAATATTCTATTGAAATAACTTTGAAAGAAAAAAACTGTTTCCACTTTCCCACCAGTATGCTTAAACTTAAGGGAAGTTCTATATTTGACCCCAGTAAGCCTTGACAAGCCTGTAAACAATGAGATGTAGTGCTTGGAAATCTTGACTCCCTGAAGCTGAACAATAGTTCATGTATGGTGATGGTTTAAATATATTAAGATATTCAAAATGCCGAATTAATAATATGAGATGACTGTATTTACTGTCTTACATTATATAAATGATTGAATTAATGATAAAGATATTTTTTAGCATTCAGTTACTGGCCACAAAAGTCTTCTTCAAATGTATTTCTATGCTGGTTTACTCCACATAAGTGCAGTTGTGTTCAGCGGGACTAACATTTAAGGATTTGTGCATAGGGTTATACCAACTGGTTAAATCATAATTGGTATATAGAAGATGGTGAAGCAATTCAACACCGGAATCTGGAAGTCAGCATGACTTGTGTATGTTCAAGATGAGAGTATTGTAAATGACTGTCATGATAAATGGCTTCCTTTGGAGCAAAGATTGTTTAAAAAATATGAATGTTGAGACTCTTTTCTAAAAACTAATAAATTAATTAACTTTAAGACATTTAAACATTTAGGGTCTGTATGTTGTCTGACAGACAGGGGCCAATTACTTGGACCCAATCAATGTGGACTATTAAACTTTAAAAAAATTCCAACTGAATCATACTTTGTCATAAAAGCAGCTCAGTTGAGTCTTCCAGGGAGCTTGTTTATATTAATCTGTAGCATCCATACTAGTTGACACAGGAAGACATATTACAAGTTGAGCATTCCTTATTCTGATTGGACAAGAAGTACGAGGGTTATCTGGAAAGTAAGGTTACATTTTTTTTAAAAAAAATACAAAGAATGAATATATTTTAATAAAACTTATATGGATTATAGCATAGGTATTACATTATTTTTTCCTCATAATCACAATTCAGTTCAATATATTTTGTCATCCGTGGGACGAGCTTTTTGATGCCTGTGTCATAGAAGTTTCCCTCTGCCTTTTTCAGCCAGTCCGTCAATTCAATTTTCACCTCGTCATCATTGCAAAAGTGTTTTCCACCCAGGTATTCCTTCAACTTAGTGAACAGATGATAGTCGCTGGGTACGAGATTTGAGCTGTGAGAGGGGTGGCTTAAAATATTCCAACCAAATGAAGTCAAAAACCCTTGTGTTCAGGCATATAGCCGGGGGGGGGGGGGGCTTGAGGGGCTTCAGCCCCCCCCCTGAAATTCTCATGATGGTTCACGAAAAGGCCTTACTGGTGCATTATTTAAACTGTTATGTTTATTCATATCATGATCTGATCACCATACTCAATATATCCCATATGCATGGGGGTACTGGGGTAACGATACAAAAGGTTTGCTAGGGTAGACCCTCTTTCACTCAGACTCAGCCCCCCCCCCCCCCCCCCCGAATCGAAATCCTGGCTATGGGCCTGCTTGTGTTGCATGAGCGGTTCGTGGACATGCATTGTCATGAAGGAGACAAACAGGAGGGAAATGGAATGAGGACCTTCACCGCAACACCAGTCAATGAGCTACTGATGACTGGCACTGCTCATTCGCTTCCGCTGGCTTCCCGCTACACAACAGTGATATCAACTTTCCCTGTGAAAATTCCCCATGAGAGCTGCGTGCCTTGTAACCTTACTTTCTGGATAACCCTCATACTTTGGATTTTTTAAAATTTTGGAACACATGTATAATAAGATATCTTGGAGATAGCACACAAGTCTAACATGAGATTCACTAGCTTTATATAAGCCTTATACACATAGCCTGATGGTAACTTTATATAATTTTGATGGGGGGGGGGGGTTCTAGGACCCTCAGATACAGAAATAAATATGTATTGTGACACATACATTTTAAAAATTAAAATCAGAATGTACATAGCAGTCAGGTTAGTGACACCAGTGGTGCTCGCAGTGGCTGGCTTCTAGTATAATTCCATTTTTCCCACTTTGTTTGTGGTTTTTTTTATACATTACAGATGTATTCTCAATTCGCCTCTGACACGATAAAAAAAACTGGTGACAATAGAGTGGCCGAAAGCCCACTAATAGAAGTGGAGAGTGCAGGATACAGAAAAGCGAAGCCGTTTTCATTCCAAACACTCCCTTTCCTCTCAACATTCTTTTAATATTACAAGATATATGAATATATATAAAAATGTCTTTTTGTTTTGCATATGAATATAGCAAGAAATCTGTGAAAAAATCCAAAGCACAATTATTACTTCCGTAGCTAAGTCAACAATGAGTATGATTTTTTTTAAAAAAAATATTATCGGCTGCAAGAAAATTAACAGCAAGTGATAGGATATTTTTGCATATTCTCACCAAATACACACAATGAAGTTGGATGCTTAAGTTACCCAGAAATCAATGCAGATTTTTCAAATCAATTTGGTTTTTAAAAAAATCTCTTTCAAGGATACCATGTTCTTTGGAAGCTTGTTTGGACCAAGTTAATGACCTTTCAGGTTTCCTTCACATAAACAATTCACTTTTTGAATAATAATTATATGTCTTGGAGTGGGGGAGAGATTAGGATTTTAGAGATGTTTAGATGGGGTATGGCCAAAAAAAGGTTGGGAGTCACTGCTCTAGACTCTCAACTCTTTCCAGGGCATCTGGCAGTAAAAACTATCAGATTTTTTTTGCTTTCAGATTTCTGCTTGAGGCAGTGGTTCTCAACCTGTGGGTCTCCAGGTGTTCTGGCCTACAACTCCCAGAAATCCCAGCCAGGTTACCAGCTGTTAGGATTTCTGGGAGTTGGAGGCCAAAACATATGGGGACTCACAGGTTGAGAACCACTGGGTTAATGGATGCTTTATCTGTAAATACATATAATTATCTGGTGTGTTTTGTGTATATATGTATATGGGGAGAAAAGTCTCGCACCTATGTCTGCCAGATGGAAAACTAGAGAAGGCTCATGTGCCTTTAGTAGATGTATAGAAGAGGGAATTTCAGCAGATGTGGTTTGTCATGCAACCAGATGACAAAATTCCCTTTTTACACAACCATTAAAGGCTCGGGAGACCTTGCTTTGGCAGCCCTGCTCATAACCCCTGCAGGACATTATTTGTGTAAAATGGGGTCGGTTTCCTCAACATTCTTCTGTACTTCATCATTTCCTGTTTCTCCAGGCAGTTCAATAAGGTATGTTGTGCATCTACTAAAAAAGCGATTTAACAACCGAATCCTATGCAATCCAAACAGTAAGTTCAATTGGGTTTAGTCCCAAGTACATCCAGTTTTGTAAATTACATAACTGAAAATAGTTGCTATTTTTCTAACAAATTTTGCATTAAATAGTACCAACAGATCCAGCCCCTCATTATCCCAACTCAGAGCAACAGGAGCTAAAGAGAAATAGTCCAACTGCCAATCTGCCATTCTGTCAGTATATTTTCTTCTTGTTCCAGTCATACTACCTCTCGTACTGAACTGATAACCCATCTCTTTCTGTTTATTATGATTTCTGGACCACAAGGATAAAAACTGTATATCATTGAACTGCAAATCTGAATAGCGCATACCTTTCAACTGGCTGGGAAAGCCACTAGATCAGTGTTTCTCAACCTTCCTAATGCCGAGACCCCTTAGTACAGTCCCTCATGTTGTGGTGACCCCCAACTATAACATTATTTTCCTTGCTACTTCATAACTGTAATTTTGCTACTGTTATGGATCATAATGTAAATAACTGCTATGCAGGATGTGTATTTTCATTAACTCAACCAAGTTTGGCACAAATACCCAATATGCCCAAATTTGAATACTGGTGGGTTGGGGGGATTGATTTTGTCATTTGGGAGTTGTAGTTGCTGGGATGTATAGTTCACCTACAATCAAAGAGCATTCGGAACTCCACCAGTGATTAAATTGAACCAAACTTGGCACACAGAACTCCCATGACCAACAGAAAATACTGCAATGGTTTGGTGAGCATTGATCTTGAGTTTTGGAGTTGTAGTTCATTTACATCTAGAGAGCACTGTGGACTCAAACAATGATGGATCTGGGCCAAACCTGGCATGAATACTCAATATGCCCAAACACTGGTGGAGTTTGGGGAAAATAGACCTTGACATTTGGGAGTTGTAGTTGGTGGGATTTATAGTTCACCTACAATTAAAGAGCATTCTGAACCCTACCAAGGATAGAATTGGGCCAAACCTCCCACTACTCTGTTTTCTGATGGTCTTTGGTGGCCACTCTGACATCCCCTCGTGACCCCCCAGGGGTCCCGACCCCCAGGTTGAGAAACACTGCACTAGATTAATATGGTGATGCTTTGCACCTTTATCCTTTTTCTTTCTTTCTGAGGTGTCAGAAAAATAGTCCATAGATATTATCAATTCATTTATCATATAAACTCTGTTTATATGCCACTCATACTGTCTGAAATGACAGTGGCTAAACATTTGAACGGATTTAGTAATTCAAGAATGCAATTTTTCCAAATAGGAAAATACATCGATATAATAAGAAATAATAGATTTCTTTGACTTAGAAGGAATCACATCTATATATATATTCATAATACAGGCAGTCCCGAGTTAAAAGATCTGATTTACAAATGACTCATAGTTAAGAACAGGAGTAAGACAACGGGAAGTGATAGAAATCTACCACTCAGAAGGGAAAGCCACTCCTGGATGAGTTATCATGGGGAAAATGAGAAGTTTTCTCCCCAACCCTTGTTTCTATAATGAGACAAATTTTTCAAAATCCAATTATCACAGGGACAAGAAATGAGGTGAACTATTTTGAACAGGGACACAGATAGCAAAACAAACACTACAGGGGTATTAATCTTTCCCTGTGCTATCCAAAGACACACACACACGCACACACAGAGTTACACTTTAAAAAGTACCTGTTCTGACTTACATACAAATTCAACTTAAGAACAACCTGCAGAATATACAAGGGACTGCTTGTATCTTCATGCCGCTCACCTTTACATTTCAGAAGAAACCCAACAATTTCAATTTATCCCCCCTCCCAACATATACACAGGGATTTTAGCATGTTGGAAAATTAAATAAGCCTCCTAGCCAACGCCAGCTAGATGTATGCATTGCCTCATATTTCTTGACTATCCTTATTTGATAGAAAAAGCCCTCTTCTCCAGCTGCTTTGAAAATGTCCACCCTTCTCTCCCTTACCCTAGGGCTGATCCAGATAGGTCTTTATCCCAGAATAATCCACATTTTAAAAACACAGATTTTCCTGGGGGCCTATCCACACCCACCCCAGAAAGTGTGTGCTTTCTGGGATGGGTGTCCAGATGGGACACCCATCTGGATGGGACAAGCCCGGGACAACATCTGTAGGCCCTACCTCCTCCCCCCAAATCCTCAGACCCCTTAGAAAATTAATGAAATCTTACCCGTCCTCCATTACATGCTTTGGCCAGCTCTCCCAGAAAGTAGAAATGACATGCCAGGAAAGCGGGGGGGGGGGGGGGGGGGGGGGGGGAAGAGCAATTTTCCTTATTTAGCCCGGTAAACTGTGGGAATACTGTCTGGACTGCAGTATTC